CGAAAAGGTATCCAAGAACTTGGAGACATTCGAGCGCGAGTGTGACTTCCTGTCCGACGACTCGTGCCGCGGCCAGCTGGTCACCATCTTGACCAACATCTTCGACAGCATCAATGCGAAAGGTCAGTGCTCGATCGAGATCAACGATAAATGTGCCATTCATCTGAAGTTGCCGCACTTTGCCGATCTGCCAGCTCGAGTGTCGCCATGCGACATGCCAGTGCTGTGCAAACCGGTATCCGAAGAGGACCGTCGTCTGCTGGACGTCGTGTCACAAAAGATCATCCCTCATATCACCGGCTTCAACGATGTTGCGAATATCGGCGACACGGTACAGGTGGACATCGCGATCGTCGAGCGCTGCATTACCAACCTCGAGTACCACGGCTTGGTCCGACTGCTGCCACTGTTCCAGTACCGCAACTTCTACCGCGTCACGCCGAAGATCCGACACCTGTACCAGGACCGTCAACTTCAGGCCGAATTCTGCCGCGTCGTCGCCTTTTGCCCCTCCGCCAAGCCGCCCCTGTTCCGCGACATCTTTCGACTGTTGTGCAGCATCCAACCAACCATCGCCATCAAGGACTGGTGCCCTCGCGAGTTGCCTCGCGACTACAATGTCGATGAGCGCAAGTTGGTCCAATTCGCTGTCTTCCATGGCATTCTATGGAAACTAACCGGACGCCCGTTTTTGGTTCCAGCCGCCGTGTCGGATACCGGCGCTGCCATCGCAAACGACAAACAACCGATCACTTCTGGCAAACCGTTTGTTTTGGATGGCAGCGTGTCGGTCGAAGAGATTTCTTTTCGTATGGGTTGCACTATAGCGCAGGTAGAAAAAGAAATCGAAAGGAATGAAAACGTGCTCGTTTTATGGAATTGATGTGACTGAAAGCTGAAAGACGAAACTACTTGTTAATATTTATAACACTGTTAAATGAATACGCTGCCTACGTGGCCCCGAAAGGATAAATACTGCCATGGAAACATTCTACAGCAGACTGATTGATATTACTGTAATTGATTACTGATTAACTGATTTTATTACGAAAATAAAGCGTTAGGGGACAGGGTGAAATAAACGATAATCAGGGAATATCTTTGTTCTTCTGTCTGAAGTGACTGAACGGCTGACATGGGCTATAATTTACTGGGTGTGAGCAATATGTGCATCAAGACATATCCTGAATATCGTGTAACTCCTTTGTAACGTCGTTTCGTTAGTTACAGCAACTTTAATTTTTCCTTTGCCACGTTTCTTTTATTTAGATTTAACCTCTTAGCAGTCTGTAAATTAACCTTCTGTCAAGACCCTGTAAAACGGGAGCCTGTGATATTTTTATGCCACTCAAAAAGTCGACATATTAAGAATTAAATTGACTTTAACGTTTGTCAGTAAGAGACAACTCTAGGACCGCGGTGGATTGTTCGAAGACTACGGTTGGTAGTTGAACATTGCAGTGTAAGACGCCTTTCGTACTTGCTCTTGAAAGGGTTCATTATGCTCGTCCGCACATTGGATTAGGCCAGAAAAATTTTATGGGGTTAGTAATTGACAGTCGGTATTTCCAGTGTACATTTTTCTTTTTTTCTTAATTATCCTTAATAACTGCTGTAGTAACAAAGCTTCTAATTTATCTGTTTCTAATCTAATCTATCTGTTCTAATC